GCTTGAGGGAGTGGGGGGGACTTGTATGCAAGGTCCACGGGGACATAGTAGGGAGGGGGAGGACGGGGGGGAGATGGGGAGAAGGGAAAGGGGGATGGGCAGCGGACAGCGGGAGAGGGGCAGCGGTGGGTACGTACGGAGAAATGCATGGGAGAGGAGCACGTAACCGCCGTTATCGGTTAATATGGCAACGGTTCGTGGTCTTAGTGGTTAATCGTAACGACTTGTTGTTGTTCATGCCCAAACTCCCCTTCTCTTTCCCCTCCTTTCTCCCCTCAACACGCATCCACACACACGCCCTACAGTTCCCTACCTCCCCGTCCGGCCCGCCCCCCATGCCCTTCTTGGCTCGCAGAATGCGGCCCAGGCGCTGCGCCTCCTGCCGCCGACTGCCCGCATGCGAGCTGATCTGGATCAACACATTGGCCTCCGGAATGTCCAGGGAGTTATCTCCAACCTACGGAGGTGGGGGAGTACAACGCAACGCAACGAACATAACGGATAACAACGGATAACAACAGATAGCTGTCAACGGAAGCCCGAAGGCAGTCAAGTTCAAGTAAGGGAAGTGCGGAGGGGTCACGCGTCACGCCGCCGTCCACATACGGGACTTGCGTGTCGTTACGCCGTACATTACCCGCACCCAAACCCCTTTTTTTCCCCCACACCAACACCACACCACAAGCCACAAGGCAGGTGTTTCCAATTTTCCCTCCCACCCACCACATAACCCACATTTACCACACCACCCGCAATCATCGGGCACACGGGCCCCCACATCTTACATCTCTGCCGCACACCTCCACACACACAAAACACACCTCCACACACACCATCGACGAAAGCCCCGCCCTGTCGTACCTTGGACAGAAACACCGTGTTAATGTCAGGGTTGTGTTTGAAGGCGTGCAGCACCCGCGTCCGCTCCGCATGGGAGGTGGGGCCGTAGATGAAGGGCTTGCGCATTCGGGTGGCGTACTCGCGTAGAGCCCAGATGTTGTCGGAAAACACAATGATCTTTGGCGGAGAGGGGTGCCGTACCGCGCCGTACCGCGCCGTGACCGGGCAAGGGAGAATGGGGAGCGGGTTGCAAGAGGAACAGTCAGATGTGTCGGGGCGGGAAGCGGGCAACACCACCCCCAGAGAGACGTCCAGAAATCCGCCTTCCCTCCTCTGTCGCCATCCCTTCGCCCCGCAGCCGCCTTCCCCTCCCCACACCCGCGTCCAAGTGTTTTTCTTCTCGTCATTCCTCTATGCTTCGTCGTACCCACCCCAACCCTCCCTTGCCACCTCCCCCTCCCGTCCTCTGACAGCAGCTTCACTCGTTCGTGGTTCATCTTTCCCCCCTTCACCCCATCTCCCCAAATCCCCAAAAACCCGTCCGCCTCCCCCCCTCCCC